TTTCTACGTAATTAGGACACTTGGAATAGTTAGCGGGGTGATCACCCCCACAGTTTGCACATGTTGCCGGCGTATCTGTAGTTTTTAAGCAGGTTCTCGTGTGGTGATCACCCGCACACTTCAAGCATCGTGCTTTTCGGCCACAATTGGAGGTGGCGTGCCCCCACTGTTGACAATTGTGGCACTGTATGATGAGTTTCATGGATTTCCTCAACTCCCATGTCACTCTGGTATAAAGGACCCTTCGGCAATTTTAATTTAGATATTCCAACGTGATTACAGGGTCTGTAACCACGAGAAATAGTGGACGTTCTTTGGTGCGCATTTGATAAATCGCACGTGGCTTTATCTCATGGTCTTCTTCAAGGTTCACCTCAATGTCTACGATTTTGGTACCTTCTGCTAGACCTCTAAGGACGAAGGCATGTGATTTGTCATCCCTAGAGGTGTAGGTATGATATGGCATATTCTCAGATTTAATATTGGCTAGCACTCGCTGATGATCTTCTTTGTTTTCTACAATACTAGTAGGAATGTCATTTTTATTAGCCTCCATTCTGATGCAAGGGTCACTGTTTATCCTAGTTTTGGGGATAGCACCCTTGAAAATAGGTATTTGTGGGGCTGAAAGTGTGGACTCAGACTCTCCAGAGAAGTTACTCAGTTCGCCCCTCTTTTGAGCGTTATCCACACTTACAGATGTTTTTTCTGGGGGTTTATGGTTAATGCCTCTGGTTAGGGTAGCTGTGTTGCCAAAGTCAAGGTTTCTTTTAACAACATTTGTAGGAAGCTGTAGAGTTTTAAATTTTATGTTTTTTGCAGCTTGAATGAATTCAGGTGAGCCAATTTTGGGGGGGATTTGTACTGTTTCCGGTTTAGGGTTAGATTCTGTGTCCATTGGGGAGTCCGTGCTTTCGACAGAGTCTCCTGACCTTTCTAAGACATCGATTAGTTTTTGCGTGGATATATCATCGTCTTTACCACCTGCTTGACTATCTTGGCTCTCCTGACTGTCCTGGAAATCCAGTGACTCCTCTGAGTCAACCGTGGACGGCTTACGCGCCGGTAATACCCCTTCTATATTGATGATTTCCTCTTCCTCTTCTGTGGGTTTGGAGGTCACCTGAAGGTGAACCCTCGAAAATTTTTGCCGGGGAGTCTTCCTGTTGATGCTTTTCCTTATCAGTTACAATAGGTGGACACAGAGCATCAAAAATGTTAGTACTCACATATGTTGATCCTGTTCTCTTTATTTTGGCTTTTGCCGTCTTCGGCGAATTCAGTTTAAGTACTCTTTCGTACTGTGGTTGAGTGAATCTGCATCTATTTTTAAGGCGTCTCGTATATTCGGTCTCAAAACCCTTGGAAGTTATGGGAGGCCCTGCGGGCTCCGACATTCACGGTGTAATCACCGATACTTTGATTTATACTTAACCCTGGCGTAATTGAAAACTTAGATTTTGAAAAATTATATTTTGCTTGACAGCTGTCACTATTATCTTAAGCAGACGAACGTAGACTTGGAGGCAAACGATACCTAAGAGAGTCCTAGGTGCAGCAAGCCACGATTTTTCGCACCAGGCAGTGACGTCACCGTGCAGTCTTCCGTCCGACCAAAGTTGCTGTCTAGTCCGAGTTGTAATTTGAATATTCAGTGGGTTTTACGCTGCTAGAGTGGATGTATGTCTTATGTTGATTTTATATTTTCATTATCCGTCATTTGTGTAGATCTTGAGTGCCCCATGCAGACATCCATGAATTCTAACTTGACCATCCCCTTGATGAATAGACATTATGTCCTCCTTTAGTTCTGGGGGGAGACATTTGTCGTAAAAGTTCTCTGATATTCGAAGAATATGGTCTTTTATAGTTTCCATGGATGTTTGCATATGCATGTCTCGAATTCTGGCATAACGGTCATACCCCAACGCCAGTCGAAGACACCTGTTTTGATGTATTTGCAATGCTTTATAGTGCGTGTTCGCCATCGAACAGAAGACTGGACTTCCATATGTAAGAATTGGCCTTATAACCTGCTTATATAGGAGGAGCTTATTACTTGAGGTAACACCACTTCTCCTATGCAGCATAGGGTATAGGGCTTTAAATGCACCCGTGGCCAGTGCACATCTGTTTTCAATATGTTTTTTGAACGTTAGCCTCCTATCTAGTACAAAACCTAGGTATTTCATAGTATCTTTAGTTATGATTTCCTGACCTAGAACTTTTAGATTAGAGATGATACCCTCCTGTTGTTTGTGTGTTAATATGAGACTCTCAGTCTTGGAGGGGTTTATTTTTATTTTGTTGGCTTTTAGATAGGGGACTAACGTTCTGTTGACATGAATGTCCAGTCTTCTGGTCGCAATTTCCGCTGATTCCGATGTTTTGAATATACAGGTGTCGTCGGCGTACAAAGCCGTCTGTATACCATTTTGTCCCATGGGAAAATCATGAGTCATGATGGTATACAGATGCGGCGCAAGTACCGAACCTTGAGGTACTCCCGCTTGTGCTGTGTAGGGTCCTTGTCTCGAATTATTGATTTTGACGTAGAATTTACGGTTGAGTAAGTATGTTTGAATTGTTTTTACAATGGAAAAATGTTTAATTAATTTATTTATTTTTCAAATAGGTAGTATAGTAACAAGGGACTATAAAAATAAAGAAGAGGTTATTCATGAATAAACATAGAGTTTCTTATGTATTTAATTTTTTTATACCTAGATAGGTAGTTCTTTATTTTATTTAATTATTCTTATTGGAACACCCGGTATATACTTAAATTAAAATAGTATATTTTTTAGACTGAATCTGACTTTAATAAAAAATTCTGTGACAAAATAGATATCACATATGCTCAGTGGCCTAAAGTTTGCGCTGGTATCATTAAAGAAGGAGATGAAAGAAGCATCCGACAGAATCACTCAACGACAGGTATTGTTAACTTTTGTATTGTGTATTTAATTTGTTAATATGTATATGGAGCATAATATATTGGTTTTTTCTAACCTACATTATATATCTTTTAATACTGAGAAAAGCTATTTCTCTGGCTAATACCACAAAATACACTGAATCACTTTCCTTTGAAATACGTTTTAGAAACTTGAGCTTTCATTCAAATGTCAGTATTGAAAGATACAATGGAAATTAGAAAAAATCAGTATTGCCCATTAACACTCAATAAACTACCACCGGTTCCTTACATATTATAAGTAGCTCCAATTTTTTTTAGATAAAAATGTGAAAGCCTTGTTGCTCCTGCCATATTTATTTTCTCCCATAACATTAAAAAAGTCTAGAAAGGGTATAAGCTGGAGGCCGACAAGATCAGAAATCCCAGAAAGTTTTATTTTTCACGTAAGGGTAAGTAACAGTTTTTAGAACTATCCTTGTTAACCTGATGTAACTTTATATCCGTAACTAGAAAATAAAAAATAGACTAGAAATAAAAGTAATTAAAGGATCAACCTATATTTTATTAAATATTGTTGGTAACTACCGTTAAAAAGTACCTTGTTACTTTTTATTCCAAAAACCAATAGTTTTCCGGCTTAGAAGTTAATGAAGCATTTTCTAAAATGTGGAACTTCAAAACTAAAGCTTTTAGGTTAGGGTTGTCCCAGTTTTTTTTTTCAAAATAATTAAAAAAAAATAGAAAAAAAAACATTTTTACTTTCCTGTATAAGGAAAGTATAGGAATCATGATTTTTTTCGACCTCGAGTTTTCGACGGATGTTCACGTTTTGGGGTCCCCTGAATCCGTTTCAACTATTTGCGCGATGATGTCTGTGTGTGTGTCTGTATACTCGATAACTCATGAACGGATAAAGAGAAAAACACCAAATTTTAAACTTAAGCTTTAATCTACCCTGGGGTGAGCTGATTAGATTTTGGGCATAGTCGAAACATCTGGGGGGTACTTTATGGAATAAATCTGTTATTTACGCATGGAGAAGAAAATTTTTCAAATAAAAGATAATTGTGCTATATTTTTTTTTTCTATATTTTTTTGTACTTTACATAATTTTCCTAAAATGGTCCGTATTCGAGAAATTTGACAAAAAGTGCAAAATTAATATTTTAAAGAAAATTGTTCAAATAAAAGTTTCTTGTGATATTATTTTCTATAATATTTGTTTTATACATGATTTTCCTAAAATGGACCGTATTGAGATATTTGAGGAAAAGTGCAAATTTCATATTTTTAAGAAAATTGTTCATATAAAAGTTGCTTGTGATAATAATATGATAATCATTCTAAACAGGAAAGTCATGTGTTGGACACATCAGATTTTTTTTTATTTAAATAATTTCAGTCCTGGACCTTAAACCCAATAAGTTTTAAGCAATTTACATTCTATGTTTTTATGAGAATGGTATACTTTTTTGTATAGTAGTAGTAGCTTTATTCTTCAATAATCATTGCTGTTTATACAGAATTATATCAACAAACAAAATACTACATAATATAAATACATAAAAAATATTCAAAGCAGTATAAAAAATTTAACCAATTATGAAAAGTGTTAATGTATAATGTTAGATAATCCTGATCTGTTTTTTTTATAGAATTTTGATGAACTGGAAGCTAGAGCAGAAACTCGAAGAAATAAATTACAGGAATATAACATTACATTTCAACCGCTCGGTGCTATTGTGGGTAATCTTGATAGTTCGGAGAGTTTAGAATACTATATTATAGTAGAAGATGTTATTTATAAGTGTGACACATCAGTTAGACTTCTAGAATTACTCTACAAGGTATTTCACGCATTAGACATAGAATACCCATTAGAATGTGAACATATATGGATGTTCATCCAGGAAATTATTTTCTTAACTAAAACGACTAAAAAATGCCCTTGTGCATCTACATTCATGGCAGATATTAAATATCACATCAATACAGAGTTCAATGATCAAATTTGTTAGTCTTTAAAAAGTGAAATTTTTTGTATAACATTTAAATAACTTTAATCGTATTTGACTTTAAAATGCCTAAATGTATAAAATGTAAATCATGTTTCTTTAAAGTGAATGCTTTAATTGTTCACCTTAAAATATTACATGGATATAGTGAAACGAGTCTCTTTGAATGTGGTGTAGATGGCTGTAACAGAAATTTTCCCTCTCTAAAAACTTTTAGAAGACATGGAAAAAAACATGAAACAACATTTTCTGAAAGCAATGATATATCAGTTTCTGAAGTCGCTTGCAATTCTCATGGTGTACCAGAATTATCTAATGATATATTGTTTGTTCATTCATCAACACATGTAGAAAGATTGACCAAAATTAACGAATTGCTTGATGTTCCTTTGAAAGAAAACATTAATTTGAAGGAATTTCAAGTTGCCATTTTTAGAAATAATATATCACTCATGTGTAACTTGTATTCTGAAAATACATTTTGTCGAAGTGACGTTCAAAAGATTATTGATCATTTTAATCTATTTTTAATTGAACCTCTAAATATTTTTCAAAGAGGTCTATTTGCTATTTTTATAGATAAATATTCTATGTCAGACTGTGATATACACGACATTAAAAGGTATTTTGAGGAATTTCAACATTTGTTTAAAAACTTTGAAACAGAACATTTAAGATTTAAATATTTAGAAAAATCGGGTTATTTTATAAAACCTGAAGAGTATGTTGTTGGCCAACATCTGCAAAGGGAGAAATTATCGACCATACCAAAACATTACACTGCTCAGTATTAAAAAACTTTTTTTCATTGCCTGGTGTCCTATTTAGTGTCATTAAATATGTACAGTTTTTAAGAACTGAATCAGTTATACATAATATTGTACAAACAGAATTCTGGAAACAAAAAATTTCTGGTTTTAAAAAGGACGATATAGTTTTACTCTGTATATATATTATGACGAGTACGAAGTAGGTAACCCTTTAGGCTCTCATTCGGGAATACATAAACTTGGGGCTGTATATCTTTCTGTTTCTTGTTTACCTCCAGCCGTCCGGTCTCCCTTAGAAAATATTTTCTTAGTCAATTTGTTTCACTCTTCTGATTTAAAAGTTTTTGGAGAAAAAGTTATTTTTACAAGAGTAGTTAATGAATTGAATAAACTTAAAAATGATGGCATAACTGTAGAATTACCTACTGTAAAGTTTATTTTTGTACAGCTTTATTATTAGGAGACAATCTTGCACTTAACACTATATTAGGGTTTCAGGAGAGTTTTAGTGCAAATTCTTTTTGTAGAATATGTAAATGTACTAAAATTGAAGCTCATTCACGCCCGATTCATGTTGAATCTAATATAAGAAGTAGGCAAAATTATTCTCAAGATTTAAAGTTGGAAAATCCTTCATTAACAGGTGTAAAATTTTCTCGGTTTTTAATAATATTTCATGTCACCGAGAATTTTTCTGTAGATATCGCACATGATATCTTTGAAGGGGTTGGCCATTCTGTTATGGCTTTGATATTGCACCAATTTGTTATGGTAGAACATTTTTTTTCTATAGAGACTCTAAATCATAAATTAACCTATTTTACTTTCAGTAGAAATCATAATAAACCGCCACTAATTACTATAGATAATTTAAAAAAAAAAAACTAAAAATGTCTGCCTCTGAGGTGAAATGTTTCCATTTTAAATGCTGGATTGATATTTGGCAGCTTGATTCCAACAAATAATATATATTGGGATTTATATATTTTACAAATTGTACTTAGTAATTTTGTGAGTAATGAAATGTGTCAACAGTTAAGCAAGTTAATAGAAAAACACCATTTATTGTTTTTAAAATTATTTCCTTTGCATTTAACGCCGAAGTACCATTTTCTTACTCATTATCCGTTCATTATTAAAAAAATTGGACCTTTAACTAAAATAATGACTTTAAGATACGAATCAAAACATCGACAATCGAAGCTTGCAGCTAATGTTGTTTCATCGCGTGTAAATATTACACGTACTCTCGCTCTTAAACATCAGTTGCAGCTAACTAAAAGAATGGTAAATAATGATGGATTCACGGACAGAATTTTATATGATGGGAAATATTTGGAAAAAACTAATATATTAAATATTATTCCCACATTCAAAGACATTCTGCGTCAAACTTATGCTCCTGATGTAGACACAATATTAGAAATTTTTGAAACAAATGTTTCTCTAGTAAAAAGAATTACTTTTAACAACGTAATATTTAAAAAAGATGATCTAGTATTGACTCACTACTTGGAAGAACCCTAGTTTGGGTGTATCGATTATATTATAGTAAATGAACAAAAACAAGTTGGTTTTGTTTATTTAGAGTTAAGGACTATCAGTTTTAATAGCCATTTTTTTGCCTTCGAGGTAACTAAAAGTTGGGAGAAAAAGTTTATTTTACTGGAAGATATTTATGTACATGACACTTACATACAAATTAATCGTAACAATAAAAAGTTTATAAGTATATAAATATAGTTCCATACAGGTTGATAAATAGCAAAAAATTATTTACAAATATACAGTCTTCCATAACACTGTATCGTATCAAAGTTATGTTTTTTATTAAATGGAACACCCTGTATATTTTTCGGTTTTCTAATTCTCCTCGAAGAGCTGATACGTACAGACATAAAATACAAGGGGTCTAAAGTAAATATTTACAGAGTTACAGGGTGTTACAAATCACCTTTTCCCAACTTTGATCACTTTATTATTAAAAGTACTGAATATTTTGCAAAACGGCTTATATATCCCTATCTTAATTTTTGAGGGGGTAATCCGTGGTACTTAAGAAAAATTAATAGGTACAGAGAGGTCAAATTTCACAATTTTTTTTCTTGCCTGCCTGTATTGATTTTTTTTAAATACCTCCGAATAGTTTTTTAAAAGTTAAAATGCGGAGATGTAAGCAGATTTCAGAATTTTTAGTAGTGTTGACAAAAAGTGACTTAAAGTTGAAAAAAGGTAATTTTTAACTTTAAATATTTACTTATGTATCTGTAAGATTAGCTTTTCGAGAAGAATTAGAAAACAGGAAAATATACAGTGTGTTCCATTTAAAAAGCATCACTTTGATGTGCTGCAGTATATTTGTAAATAACTTTTTTTGGTATTTATCTCCTATAACAGAGATATTAATATAACAGGGTAATTATAGTTTAACTGTGAAATAAGTTTTATTTTTATAACTAGTTTTAAGTGAACAAAAAGCTTAGGATATTTTTTTTTTCTACAGTGTGTTCACTGAAGTTCGAAGCATATACGTAACTTTTATTGTTAATATTACGAAAAACATTTATGCTTCATAAAAAATTTTGCATGGTCTAAAATTTTAAAAGCAACTACTAGATATTAACTTTTGTGTCAAATTGTGCTGAACCAATGAGGCCGAATTAGAGGGATAATAAATAAATAATAAATTGTTTTTTATTGTAAACAAACGTTAGTGCATATTAGAACCTTATTTTTAAATCTAAACAACTTTTCCTAAAAACAATTTTCGATTTTTTCAAAAATAAAGGTACTTATTATTTTATATTTTTTATATTATTTTTATATTTTATATAACAGATTTTCAGACTGCAATAAGTTGTATTTTATATTTTATATAACAGATTTTCAGACTGCAATAAGTTGTATTTTTTTTAAAGTTTTAGGTTTTATTATTAAATGAAAATTTTTTAAATCTTAACATGTTTCTTTTAAAAATCTAAATAATCTGGGTCGATTAACACGAATTAAATCTTACAACCGTTTGTTATTGTTTCACAATTAAAATAGTTTTTTTTAAACAACTAATGTTTTGTTTACTAAAATGACAATATCTCGAAAACTCCTTGAAATATGGGGATGTAACAAATTACATTTTTTGTGTTAAAATAATAAAGGTTTCATTATTCAGCATGAAACTGAGATAATAGAGGGGGTAAAAAAATAAATGTGAGTTGGCCCAATTCGAACCGTTTGACTATGGCCCTCTAGGAGGGACATAAAAAGTAATAACAAATTCTTGTTTAACACAATTAAAACCTATGGTGTACCAATTTTGAGTTCAATACATGCAGCTGTCTTCCAACTACTACGAATTTTCAAAAATAATATGTCACCTTTAACACCCTGTATATTGTTTACTATTAACATTTTACTAATGCATGTTCATGTTAATCGACCTATTTTTATCACCTCTCCCTACAGTTACCGTATTGTCCATTAGTTACATACAAGTGTCCCAGAAAATTGTGATATGTAACTTTATATTCTTTACGAACAAAGGTAAAATACTGGATTTTATTCTAACATTTTTTTATTATTGTACAGGGCGTCCCACGAGGTTTTGGCCGTTTAAAATCTCGAAAACTATTCACATGACAAATATGAAAGTTGTCAGTCACGAGCAGTCATATACTGACGGTTGTATCTACTACAAAATGACTTCTGGTTTTCCTCGCATTTCCGCTCACGTGATCCCAACTTTAATTTTTTAAATAGGACACTTGGTATATTATTATATTTCTAGATTTCCTTGATGAGGCGAATTCAACCAACTATAAAACTTGTGGTCTAAGGTGTCACATCTAGGAACTGTAGACAGTTTAAAATAGCGTCTTTTGAGCTGTTAAAGATAGATAAAAACAGCTTACATGTCCCTCTCTTAATTTTGAAAGCACTATTTAATGAGACGAAAAAAATATAATAGAGTGGTAAAAACAATCTGGACTGTTGACTACCCTGTATTATATTTTTTCTCTTGTCACTAGATAGTTATCAAAAAATGAAGATAAGGACATGCAAGTCGTTTTGATCTATCTTTAACTGTCTATAGCTCCTAGACGTGTCACTATAAACCAAAAGTATTATAGTTTGTTAAATTTAGCTCATCGAGGGGAATCTAGAAATATAATAATATACCGGATGTCATATTTAAAAAAGTTGAAGTTGGCATCACGTGACTGGAAATGCGAGAAACACCAGAAGTCATTTTATGGTAGGTACAACCGTCAGTATTGATTACTCGTTTTCAAGATATTCAAGGGCCAAACCTCGTGGGACACTCTGCAGCCTGTAGCCAACATAATAAAATTTTATTACCAATAATAAAAACGTCGAATTATAATTATTTGAATGAAATCTAAAATTTATTGGATGTAATAATAATTATTAGAAAGTTAAATAGCTAAAGATATAGAACCTTATACCTGCTATTGGAACGGGCAATAAGGGTTAGTAGGCTACCCGATCATCGTAATTAAGTACATTATTACTATTATTAGATAATCAAATAGCCTTAGCTTCATAACAGTATAACTGCTACTAGGGAACTATGTAATAGTAATTAAGTGCACTGAATAACTGTTCTACTCCATCCAGTTGGTATTATTACCATTATTAGATTCATTCATTTACTTATGAATATTTTTTGAGGGTTGAAAATGAAGTTAAGCAGGTATGTAAAAAAATGTTTCTATCAACGTTGGAACTAAAAGAATGGATGATATCACACTGGTGTTTGGAAAACATTCATGGTATTCTTAAGATTATTTTTTGACAAATTACCGAAACAGAGCTCACATTACTGTAGAAAGGATAGTCATAAGCTCTACCTAGAAGGAGTTTTCTGTTCAAAAATGGATGTGTTTAGGCTCTACCAAAAACATTGTACGGAAAACAACCAACAAGCCCTGAGTGTGTTTACATTTTGGTCAATTTTTGAAGAAACGAACTTGTCTTTATTTAGCCCAAAAAAAGACCAGTGTAATATTTGCGTGTATTATAGTGCTGGCAATGTGACTGATGAGGAGTATACAAGACATATTGAGTTAAAAGATGCAGCTCGATTGGAAAAAAGTGAAGATAAGAGAAAAGCAGGGATAGGTGACCAATATACTTTTGTTATGGATGTACAAGCAGTTAAACTATGTCCAGTTAATAATGCAAACAAGTTCTACTTTAAGACGAGACTTAAGTTGCATAATTTTACCATTTATAACTTGGCCAGTCACCAATGTACAAACTATTGGTGGAACGAATCAGAAGTAGATCTTGTCTCATCTGTTTTTACCACTATTATAATAAGCCATTTAGAAAAATATTGTACTGAAGATAAACCCACTGTTTTATGGAGTGACGGTTACCCTTACCAAAATCGGAATGTGGTTTTGGCTAATGCTCTATTAAACTATGCTGTAAAATATAAAAAACAAGTGATCCAAAAGTACTTAGAACCGGGGCACACTCAAATGGAGTGTGACTCGGTTCACAGCGTTATTGAAAGAAATCTTAAAAATAGAGACATTTTCTTACCATACGATTATGTAAATATAACAAAAAATGCTAGACTTAAACCTTTCCCATATGACGCAGAGTACCTTGAATATCCATTTTTTAAAAATTATGATAACTCAGACTTGATGAGATACAAGAGCATTCGGCCTGGACGTGGAACAAGAGATCCAACAGTAACTGATCTTCGAGTAATCCATTATGGGATGGAGGGCAAAATTTATTATAAACTAAACTTTTCCCACGATTTGAAAGATTTGCCTCAAAGATACAAGGAAGTTAGTGTTAATGTATTACCCCAAAACTTGTTTCAGAGAAGAATCAAAATATCAAAATTAAAGTTTGATCATCTACAAGATATCAAAACGACCTTACCAAGAGAATTTCACCACTACTATGAAAATTTGCCTTTTCAGTGATTTTAATTTTTTTGTTTTTTAATAAGTAAGTTTTTGTACTTTTATTACTTGAAATAGTGACTTTTATTTTATTTAATGAGTTAGTTTGTTGATTATAATAATATTTTCTATTTTATCCACAATATTTCATTATTAAGAATAAAATGTATTACCCCGTATCATCACAATTTTTTTTTGCAATAACGTATCAAACCTAATACTGACAAATAATATTTTTTTACGTTAACTGGCATAACAATTTTATATGTACCTAAAAACATTTACTATTTGCAAAAAATAACACTGTCATACTCGAAACCGGACCACTAATACATTTTTATCGTTTCCTGAAAACTTGGAAAAATGTTAATACGTGTTATTGCCACTAAGCCATCGATATATATGCTAATAATATTGCATTTACACTATTGTATTGTGTTCAAGTAAAATTAGTCAAATATTTTTTAGGAAAATGCCTCTAAAAATTCGATACCGGATGAAGGAGACTATGAAAGTTTTTCCGAAGCAACCCTTGTGGTACGAAAAGCAAGATTTTATGTTAATTTAAACTTATTTGCTTAT